CAGTTAGCCGGCCACCACCCGTTCTCGGCCACTTTAGGAGAATTAGGGAATAAATTAGTACAAACTTTTGTTTCGATCCGCGATTTTTACAGATCCTACTCAACACTCCTTTCCCCACCACTTTACGGATCACGCCATTTTTTTAAGCACATGTCACCATAAAAAATGGCAGTTAAAAGTTGGCTCTTGTGAAACGTGCGTGCCTGCGGCTGTTTACTGCAGATTTGCTAGGGTACATCTCATAAGGGAATAGTGATTATTTTGTGTAATACTGATTATAAAGGTAAGTGTTATTAAATTTTAGATAAATAATATGTCGATGTACTATTATATTTAAGAAAATAATGATAATTCATAAGTACTAATTATTTTATGGGGTGGCCGGTAAACTGGCTTAACCAAAACGCTCAATCCACTTCTCGGCCAGGGTGGCCGAGAACAGGTCGTAGAGCATGATATTGTTTATCTTTTTTTGTCTTACTGGTTCATAATAATTCGTATCCTTTTCTCTGGCATACTTAGGACAGTTAGTACCACAAAATAGCCAGTTTTCGGCCGGACTATCTAAAAAAGCGCGGGAAATAAAAATGTTTAAAAGAGCGGCCGAGAAAAGGTATCTTGGCCTTTTTTCGGCCATTACCTTTAACTTATATTGGTTTTATGTGCTTTTTACCTGATTTCGTATTAACCTTCGTGCTTTTTTAAGATACTTACGAATCTTAAAACTGTAAATTACAATTTTACATAAAATGCTTACCTACTAGGTAAATAATGTTTTTCAGATGGCCACAGTCAAAGGCAAAAAATTTCCGATGCAGGCAAGAAAGTTATTCAGCTACTCTGAAGAAAACCTTAAGCTTGCACTGCATGCTGTTAGAGAGGGCCAAATGTCCATAAGAAGTGCTGCAAAAGAGTTTAATGTACCAAGGTCTACTCTCCAAGACAGGGTGTCGGGGAAAACACCAGACCGATTGCGTAAAACGGGTCCAGAACCAATTATGACTATCGAAGGAGAAAAACGCATCAGCAATTGGGTCATTGGTCTTGCCAAGTGTGGATTCCCAATAAAAAAGCATGAACTAATGGAAACAGTAACGAAAATAGCAAGAGACAACGGAAAAATTGAAAAATTCAAAAACGAGAGACCTGGAGAGAAATGGTATGCTGGTTTCACCAAAAGGCATCCAGAAATTCGGTTACGTGAATCTGAGAGTATAAACAAGGCAAGGGCAATTATCACAGAAGAATATATTAGGTCATGGTTTACAGAATTAGAAATATTCTTAACAGAAAACAACATTTTGGACATTATGGAGGACCCTTCCCGCATATTTAACGGTGACGAATCCGGATTTTCACTGTGTCCAAAAACAGGAAAAGTCCTTGCTCCTCGCGGATTTAAAAATGTTTATTCCATTAAACAAGGCAACGAAAAGGAAGCCTTAACAGTACTAGTAACATTTAATGCCCGTGGTAACATTTGTCCTCCACTTGTTGTTTTTCCGTACGTCAGACCTCCAAAAACATTGATAAATAATATGCCAGAGAATTGGGTGTTAGGAAAATCCGACAGTGGGTGGATGAAAAGCGATGTCTTTTTCGAATATATTTGCAACGATTTTAACAAGTGGCTTACGGACAACAATATTAAGAGGCCTATAATATTATTTGTTGATGGACACAGATCACACCTTAATATATTCCTAAGTGAATTTTGTGACAAAAATGGAATAATTTTGTATGCCCTTCCTCCAAATACCACTCACATCCTACAGCCAGCGGATGTTAGTGTATTTCGGCCACTAAAACATGAATGGAAGAAGACTGTCAGGCAATGGCAAAGTGAACAAGACGTTAATACCGCTGTGACAAAAATAAATTTTTGTCAAGTATTTGAGCAGACGTTAAATAAAGTAGATATGGAACCATGTATTATTAATGGCTTTCGAAAATGCGGCTTGTTTCCTTTAGATCCAAACAATGTTGACTACACTAAATGCGTTAAAAATGAATTAGAAAGAAAACGCCATGACGTAGAGCCCGTAGAGAAAATAAGCTATGAGGACACTGAAGCAGCAAAAAAAGTGATTAAAACTTTAGAAAGAAAACTAAAAAATAGTGGTATTGATACAGACATAATTTATAAAGCAATAAATAATTTGTCATTTGATGCTAGTAATTGCGGAGGTGTTAGACAAGAAAAAAAAATACATGTTATAAGCAACATTACCATCAATAAGCAGGATACGATTCCGGATAATTTAAATAATACCTTTCCTTTGGAAATAGGAACCTTAGTACCCATGGAGTCACTGAATATTATTCCTATTGATGAAATAGATGTTATAGCATTAGATAATGTCCCCATAAATGAGCTATTTGAAGAACCACGACAGCCAGGAATACAAAATGTTGATAAACATGTGTGTGAAAACAAAGAAAACATTAATTTTGATGAGAAGGTTGTGGAAAAAAAAGATAAGTTTAAAGACAAAAACGAAAATATGGATCTCGATAATCAAAACGAGGAAGATAACGCCGAAGAAATGGATGAAAATAAAATTTACTCGAAAAATGGCAAAAAAGAACAATCAGAAAAGGAAAATACTACTAAAACTGAAACAACGGAAGTTGGATATAAAATAGAAGAAGAAAATCAGATATTTGTGAAAAAAAATACCGATCAAGTTATTGAAATTGAAGATAACACCACAGAGAAAAATGAATCAATAAACGATAAATCGGAACAGGCAATACAAAATGAGGGGCGAGTTGATAAAACGGAAATGACGAGAGAAATTAAAAACATGGAAATAAATAAAGAAAACAATTCAACAATAAAAGTGGAGACATTTTATAAAAAGAAGTCGGAAGTAAAATCTCCATTAAAGACCGTACAAATTGAAGCTGAAAGTAATCACTCACCACCAAAATGGCCTGAAGAAAATTCTCCTATAAAAACTGTGGAGGTCGAAGAAGTGTTAACCCCATTTTCTCGTCATCTAAGATTTCCTGAACCTATAAAAAAAGGTTCAGAAAATAAAAAAAAAGAGAAATTGCCAAGTGCTATCTCGTCCAACGCTTGGCGAAAACATATTGAAAAGCAAGAGAAAGGAAGACTAAATAAACAGGAAGCTCAGCAGAAGAAAAAAGATGAAAGACTGGAAAAACAGAATAAAAAAAATGCAAAAAAAGATATAAAACAGTAAAAAAAAAATGCAGCAAAGAAATTAAAATTGATGTGTTCTCTTTGCGAAGATAAGTTTCATTTAGCTTGTACTGAGTTATCTAATTTATCATACAATGAAGCTTCAACTAGAGATTTCTTGTGTAGTTCCTGCAAATAAGTTTTAATGAGTACAAATTATTTACTCCTCTTTTTAAGGATATCTATTTATGTTTATTTTTAAGGTTTTTTTATTAGTTACTTATATTAAAATAGGCAACTTGGAATATTTTTGTTTTATTTATCTACTTAAATATTTTGATTAGAATCTACTACTGACTGCAATAAAATTAATTTTTTTGATTATCTGTACCTAGGCACCCATTTTCCATTCATTTCTCCTTTTATTTTAATGCTTAAACAACACGGCCGAAAAATGGGATTTATCGGCCACCCATGCCGAGAACTGGCATAGTCTTGGCCGAGAAAATAATCAAGTGACCGAGAACTGGCAATAAGGACATTTTTTAGGATTTTATTAACAAAAAAAAACTTAAAT